TCCCTCCTGTCATCCATCCAGCACATTACACGCTGACAGATCGTATGGGACTGCACACACCTCTGCCCCCCCCCCCTTCCTGCTGCCCCGGAGATCAGCAGCCCTTGGAGGGGGGGGGGTGTGGTCCCTCCCATAGGATCTGAGGAAGAGAGGAGGATAGAGGGAGGAGGGATGGAGAGAGAGGAGGGAGAGAGGGAAAAGGGGAAGAGAGAGAGAGGTTAGAGAGAGAGGGGGAGAGAGAGAGAATCATATATACATACACACACTTATTGAACTCTCTTGCTCTCTCATTGGGGGGGGGGGGGCAAATTTTTGTGTTGCCTAGGGCAGCACAAAATCTAAATACACTACTGCCCCCCACCCCTTCAACCTCTGCAGCAATGCTGGCAACACTCATATGTCCATTTCCTGAAGACAACCTCTAGATATGACGCTGAGCACGTGTACTCAACTTTTTTGGTCGACCATGGCGAGGCCTGTTCTGAGTGGAACCTGTCCTGTTAATGCGCTGTATGGTTTTGGCCACTGTGTTGCAGCTCAGTTTCAGGGTCTTGGCAATCTTCGTATAGCCTAGGCCATCTTTATATACAGCCCAAATTCTTTTTTTCAGATCCTCAGAGAGTTATTAGCCATGAGGTGCCATGAGGTGCCATGCTCCCCATTCACCCGAGACCTTGTAACACTAATGAGTCACATGACACCGGGGACGGAAAATGGCTAATTGGGCCCATTTTGGACATTTTTACTTAGGGTTGTACACACTTTTGTTGCCAGCAGTTTACATTAATGGCTGTGTTGAGTTCAGGGGTGGACTGACCATTTGGAAACTCAGGCACTGCCCGAGAGCCCAGGGTCAGTAGGGGGCCCCATGAGATGCCCCTGGTACCTTTTTTGATAGGCTTTTTGAGTTTGGGCAAGGATACAGGGGCCCCATGATCCCCTATTGCCCGGGGGCCCCATGAGTTGTCAGTTCGTCCCTGGTTGAGTTATTTTGAGGGGACAGCAAATTTACACTGTTATACAAGCTGTACACTCACTACTTTACATTGTAGAAAAGTGTCATTTCTTCAGTGTTGTCACATGAAAAAATTGCATAAAATATTTACAAAAATGTGAGAGGTGTACTCACTTCTAGCAGATACTGTAGGCTTCAGTCCTCTATGTCAGTGTCCATAGGTTCTCCATAGGCCAACTTGTTTAAGGAAAATTTTCCCTTCTTGAGGATTGGTTGGGTGCAGATAAAGTCTGCTTTTTTCCGTTGGCAACAAGTTTTTGTTCCAAACATGTTTTATGTTGTATGGGATAATGATTCTCTTTTTACTTATTGAAAAAGTCCTCAACTGACCATTAACCAATCACTTGCTGCACTAACCATGTTCCTAAACATTCACACTTTATTAATGATGAGCAATACTGTAATAATACATTAAAGTGTATTTAAGGTCAAAGTGTTAAATCATATATTTATTTTCACATTGTATCTCATAGAAACAGATGAGTGACACACAGGAAAAAATAAATAAATAGACTTGCCATACATAAAAATTATGATTCTGGTACAAAGCATTGCAAAGTTATTTAAAAATGAAAGTGTTTTTTTTTTATTTTCAATTTTGCACATTTTTAAATGTGTAAAATTATGTAAAAATATTAGGAAACAAAAATGTTTAAATATTAATTAATAAAATGGAAACAAACAAATCAGCAGGAAAATAATAGTTGGGCTGATTAAAATAAGCTAAAGGTTCATAAGGGGTTAAACAGAGTAACATTTTATTTTAATTTATATATATATATATATATATATATAATTTTTCTTTACTTGGCAGGTTGCCTTAATTGACATCATCTGTAGATCACCACTTTGAAATGTAGATGAAAGACATAGATGTAACAATGTTGCATTGTATCTTTGTATAATCATGGATTGGAGCAGCGTTGTTTATAAACACTGATTCAGAATGCTTTTTTGATAGAGTTGTAGAATTCTGAGTATACAGTAATGCCGGTTTGATTAATCACAGCTGAAAATTACAGTATACTGGGGTGAGGGAAGTCCCAGAAGTATGGCAGAGAGACAGGATGTGCTACACATGCCCTGTGTACAATGCTGATGTTTTTTTGGAGGGGTGTCTGCAACTAGGCAAAGGATAAATTCACCCTTGGAACATGTTACATGTGGCACTCGTATTAATGGTGAAACATGTTCAAGCTCCTGCCTCCATTTACTTCCTTTTTTATGTGTGAGACATATTCAATATGGCCGTCTTTAATATTGATTGGGCCCTGGGCAAACATTTTCTTGGTGCCCCCCCCCCCCCCCCCTCCATACACACACACACTCAGAGACATACAAGAAAATAGCAGGTAGACTCAATCAGTTTACTGCAACAGATCACGCAGCAATGCAATTGCTTACCAGAGGTTACAACACATAATTTCTGCTTGCTGTCTGGTTGCTAGAAGTTACTGTACATTATTACTGCTCACTGATTAGTTGCTATAGATTATTGCTTGTCATTACCGCTCACTGATTGGCTGCTAAAAGTTACAGCACAACATTGCCCTGATAGGTTGCTAAAAGTTACAGCACATCATTACCGCTTACTGATTTGGTTGCTAGAGGTTACTGTACATCATTACTGCTAATTGGTTGCTAGAGATTACAGCAAATCACTACTGTTCACTGACTGGTTACTGCCCTACATTAATGCTCACATAGCAGTGGAGCAAACCCAAATAATTGAGCAAGTAAAGCAACATATTAATACACATACTACAAGAGATGGTCAGAAACTGTGGACATACTAGAGGAGATGACCAGAGGCTGCAAACGTACTAGAGGAGATGACCAGAGGCTGCAGACGTACTACAGGAGATGACCAGAGGCTGCAGCCGTACTACAGGACATGACCAGAGGCTGCAGCCGTACTACAGGACATGACCAGAGGCTGCTGATGTACTACAGGACATGACCAGAGGCTGCTGATGTACTACAGGACATGACCAGAGGCTGCGGACGTACTACAGGAGATGACCAGAGTCTGCAAACTGAAGGGCTCAGTTTGCAGGTAAGTCTGTCATAATGTGCTAGTATGCGGTGCATACGAATGCGTTATGACTTAAACCTGCAGCATTTTTAATTTGTAAAAAAAGGACTTTACTATTGTTCTAGGCATGGTTCACATCTATACAGGTCTGTGCAGGGTTCCTGCAAACATGCTGTGTTTTTAGATGCTCGTGTGCCATGCATCTAAAAATGCAGCACATTTTGCGGGTATGGGAACTGCATGGAAATAGCATGGTGCAAAAGTACCTTGCCATTTCAAGGACACTGCATTTCTCAAATGCAGAATGCCCCTTTTAGGCCTAAAAGAAATCCATTAAGCTCAAGCAGTGTTGTCTGCCTGTGTGGAAGATGTCATGTGTGCCAGTGGCACTGTGGCCCTTGCCCTTTATATACAGAACAGCCATTGTCAAGTCAGGGTTTAGGAACAGCAAGAGGAAAAGCACATACCTGGTTCTGTCCAGCCGTGCTTTGCTCACCATCTGAGGGCTCATCTCTCAGTACTGTTGGCCGCTCCCACTATCACCTCCTACCCCACAGTGTCCTGAGCATACAGGCAGCATGGCATGGGGAAGTGTCAGAGCGTCAGTGGAGGTCACAGTCCCACCCACTCCTTCCTTGCTGGGGATTCAGAAACAATAGACGCTGCACCGGTGCCTGTCCTGGAGTCCTGTTCCAGCTGTCACCCGTGAACAGCGTGTGTTCCCGGCCAGTCATTCTGCAATGACCCCAGTGCCCCCAATTTGTGGGTAGTCAAGGGGCAGCTGCTTTGGGCCTCAAAAAAATTATTGGGCCAGGGGTAGCTGCCCTCTTGCTCTGCATTAAAAACAGCCCTGAGTAGGCACTGCTGTGTCAAAGAATTCACAAAGCCTGCCTTCTGAACTACAAATGTGATGAGGAGTTTCAGGAGGCGGAGTCAGTGTAGGAATCGCTGTTGGCAGACAGTAAGGTACCATGGGATATGTTGGAGAGGAGAACCTGCACAGCATGCAGGGAATTCAGGCAGCTGTGGAAAATGATGGGCAGCAGACAGGCAGCTCTCATGAAAAGAGATTGTTCAAGGACGTTTATGTTGAATTGTCAAACAGAACTATTGTTTGCATTGTTGTTACAATGCTGGTGTTTGAAAATTAAAGTGTGTGCTGTGATCATAGAACTCCTTTAATTGTAAATCCTTTGTAGAAGACTATATATTTTTTGGGGAGGTATATTTTATTTTCTGTTGCTAGGATGTACATACTCCATACATCACACTAACTCCTGGTTCACATGTCCACGTTCCTGCGGGCTGCGTTTTGCGCGGGCACGAGAGCCCATTAATTTGAATGGACTCCCGTGCCCCGGGACACAGAGAGAAGAAGTTCCTGCACTTCTTCTGAAAATGCAGCCCGCATGGGAATCTCGGTTCCCAGTATGGTTGCGATTTTCCATTGCGGGCGGTGTACCATTAGAATTAATGGCACCCACCCGTGGGTCCACATTCTTCTGTGTGGGTGGTGCAGCTGCTCGGATTTTTGTGCAGATCCACAGCGGCACCACCCGCACATATGCGAACCTAGCCTAAAAGGTTGTTAATAGGATGCACATAGTCTATACCTCATACTAAAAAAGATGATGCCAGGATGTACATACTCCATACATCACACTAAACACAACGGAGAAGGAAAGAGGAATCGAAGCATGGCTTTCTCCAAAAGAAATGAGGGACAGTTGGGAGCATAGTGAATATGGTAACATGCTGAATACATAAAGTAATGTATTTAAACTATCATGGATCTATAGAGGTAACAAAGGTCTAAACTGTGTTTTTGTTGTGCATTTAGTGGCTGGTGATCATTCAAACTTTTTTACTCCTGACTGTTCATATAAAATACGTAATCTTGTTTGCTGCTGTATAAATTCTTACCTTTTTGTCTTTCTTCTATCTTTTCAAGGCCCTGACTTCTCTTCTGTCTCTAACTGCTTCGGTCTACCCTTTCTGTCTCTGCAATGCCTGGAAGGAGATTCTACTTGCCTTGAGGCCGATTCCAATCTGGTTAATAGTTTTTACAGGTTCTGCAGCATTCCCTACGCACCTTCCTGGTATTCAAATGTAGCTTTAAATGATTTTGTACCTTTTTTTTTTAAGGGCTCATGTACACTGCAGCTGCTAAACTGAAGTTTAGGAGCAGTTGTGCGTTTTTTTTCTCAGCAGCCCCTGAACTCTCCTTTGTTTTCCTATGTGTCCATGTATACATAGTCGTTTACAGTTTAGGGGCAGTTAAGGTTACAGGCATTTTTTTGAAAGCACAAAAATCGCGTTCAGGACTAGAGTTTACCGGCGTTTCAATCGCCAAACGCTTCTAACCGTGTGCAATGCATTTATGCGCATTTACGGTTAGATGCGTTTTTGGGCTGGCCCATATCCAGATCCTGTCCAGTGCCTTTTTTCTTCATCAAAAATGCATGCACAGCATTTTCCATGTATTCAAATGGACCTAGTACACCAGTGCAGTCAGTTCCAAAATGGTAGAACGTGCTGCATTATTTCTTCACAGAACTGTACTGGAACACATCAAAACACAGCAAAAAAAGCACAAGGAGTGTTGTGTGCACTCCAGAATGCATCCGGAGGCATTACAGGCATAACAGCACTATGTAGCTCCTCCCACAGTGCCATGCATGTTTCACGAGCCACTTTTGCTACAGTTGCAATACCTATAAGAAAGTAGTGCTCTCTCTGCTTCTGTTCTCTCTATTTCTCACAAAATGTCTGAAATAGTTAATTATTCACTATTTTTCAGTGCATTCTGGGCATTTGGGAGGGTCTTCTGAGGTTATCTTTTTAAAATGCTTCTAAATGCAAACGTGTATAAACGCGGTAGGTAAAAGCGGCTAAACTGACGTTTTTAACCTATGTTTTCTATCAGTCGGTTTCCAGCAGTCAGAAAAGTTTTTCAAATGCCCTGTGTACATGAGCCCTAAAAAAGCACTGATATAGTGAGTACAAGATCTGCTTGCTCCTCGTAATCTGGCTTGCATTTCCAGACATGGAGAAGTATAGTGTCCCACAAATGTAACATTAATGATGTGCATGAACTGAACTCAGACAATGATCGGTGTCAGGTTGCCAATTCATGCATGCACACAGAGGAGCAGAGCTGCTGTTAGAAACTACGGGGCCCCATTCAGCTAACTTGACAGGCCCCCACCCACCGAAAAACAAAACCGTTTACTATGCTTTAGTTATGAAGGAACACAGTGAGTGATCAATACTGATCACTCATTGTATTTAGGCAGGAAAAGAAGGTGCTGGTAAATGTGACATATTTACCGGACCCTATTGTGTGCTTGCAGCTGCTTGTGAGAAGGAGAAGAGTGAAGCTGGCAGCACCGCATGTTTGCCAGCAGGAGGTTGAGTAGAAGAAGAGGAGAGTCATATAGCCCCGGGCTGATCACTCTGCCTTCTCACATCCGATTCACCCAGCGGCCTGGACCCTGTACAGGAGGACTGGTGTTACCCCCTTATCCACGGCCCTGCAGAGGAGAATGTAGTTTATAAGGCCCCTTTCACCAGTGGCATCTTAATAGCATCAAGTTAATGTACTGGGGCCCCTACTAAGGAGATGATGGCCTGCAGCACTGCTTGGTCTCATTTTTAAAGACTACGTGGTGCTGCTGTGCTCCTCTATCTCCCTGCTGTGAGTTACATAGTTAATCCAGCTAAAAAAGACAAAAGTCCATCCAGTTCAACCATAGAAAAAAAAAAGTTATAATCCTATACCCAAAGTTGATCTAGAGCAGTGTTTCTCAACTCCAGTCCTCATGGACCCGCAACAGGTCATGTTTTCAGGATTTCCCTCAGATGAAACAGCTGTGGTAATTACTAAGGCAGTGAAACTGATCAAATCACCTGTGCAAAATAATGGAAATCCTGAAAACATGACCTGTTGGGGGTCCATGAGGACTGGAGTTGAGAAACACTGATCTAGAGGAAGGCAAAAAAGCAAAGCACGATCCAATTTTCACCTGCTGGGGAAAAAAAAATCCTTCTTGATCACCTGAGAGGCAATCGGATATTCCCTGGATCAACTTTACCTATAAATATTAGATTCCAGTTATATTCTGTATATCTAAGAAAGAATCCAGGCCTTTTTTGAAGCAATCCACTGAGCTGGCCAGAACCAACTCTTGAGGGAGTCTATTCCACATCTTCACAGCTCTCACTGTGAAGAAACCTTTCCATGTTTGGCGATTACATTTCTTTTCCTCCAGACGTAAAGAGTGTCCCCTTGTCCTCTGTGATGACCTCAGGGTGAATAACTCTACACACAGAGTTCACTATATGAACCACTGATGTATTTATACATGTTGATCATATCCCCCCTAATCTTCTCTTCTCAAGAGAGAATAAATTCAGTTCCTCTAATCTTTCCTCATAGCTGAGCTCCTCCATGCTTCGTATCAGTTTAGTTGCTCTTCTCTGTACTTTCTCAAGTTCCCCAATGTTCTTTTTGTGAATTGGTGCCCAAAACTGAACTGCATATTCCAGATGAGGTGTTACTAATGCTTTGTACCGGGGTAATATGATATCTCTCTCTCTGGAGTCTATACCTCTTTTAATACAATAGAGGATTTTGCTCGCTTTAGAAACCGCAGCTTGGCATTGCATGCCATTATTAAGCTTGTGATCTACCAGAACCCCCAGATCCTTCTCCACCATTGATACCCCCAGTTGTACCCCCCCTAGTATGTAAGTGACGTTGCTGTCACATCTCTTGTCAGCCTATAGTGGCAGAGCCTAATGCAAGATTACCCCCTGGGCACTGGCCCATGCATTAAAACAGCCCTGCCTTTCACATGGGCGGCCGAAGGAGTAGTAAAAAACAGGCAGTTGAGGCATGGTTTACCACCCTTCACAGCTCACCTAAAACCTAACATACAACCGGAGTGAGCTATACACATGTTGAAGCTGCAATGCTTTGCATCGTGGCAGTGGCAAATTTAACATGGGCAGTCAGCCGCTTGTCAAACTCACCCATTCAAATCAATGGGGCAGCACCACAACCATAAGCCAACCAACTTGGCTCATGATTGCAGCTTGTTCGTCCCATTCAAAATTGCCATTTTTTCAAAAAGGAAAAAAAGAGGGCATTCACAAGGCGGCAGGGTAGCCTCCTGTACACTTGGAAGCCTCAGCATAGCTGCTTTATGAAAATGAATCCACTACGGATTGCTTTTTAGAGAACACTGTAGTTCAAACCTAGGCTAAATCTGTTAAGATTACCCATATTAACCAGTAGAAGGCAACAATGTAGGTGGGACCAGATGCACACTTCAAAGTAAAGAATCATGAAAGAGTGTGGATGTGAAAAAACACCCTGCAGCAATGATGATAGGTGTGTGCTTGTGCATTTAAATGGGGAAGGAGGAGCACCCAGGACACCCACTGAGATCTTTTCTATTGTGAGCAAATACTATCTAATATATAAATAATATTGCATTTTCCTGCTTAGCACATATAAATGGTCTTCAGCAGTCGAGGAGTTTTGAGGTTTTTGAAGGTTTAAGACTTTTTTTCCTAATAGCATATTAATGCTCAAAAATGAGATATAATTTAGGATCATCAGTTGATTTGCTTATTCACTGAATGGCAAGTTCAGACATCAGACAGACAATATCTTTAATATATGAAAGAAAAATTTTTTGCTAGTTTAGGAATGACGTTTGCCTTGCCCACAGTCAGAACAGTGCTTAGAGCATGGACTCTGCTTCTATATTGACAACACAAAGCGTACTGACATACCTCACATAGTGCATAGACTTACAAGAGGAAAGGGCTTGAATAAATTGTTTACCCTGGGGTCATTACTCGCCAGATAGGACACTAGAAGCTGCAAAATGTGGAGAGAAGGGTAAGCTTCTTTTATCATAACACCATACCACGGGGCATGCACAGGAAATTAATAACTGGAGTTTGAGTCGAACTTAATTTAATTTCCTTTTTTTTACTATACGTTTTTTAAACAATTTTATATCTGTTTTTTACAATGGGGCCTATATATCAGTGTTAAGAAAAGATATAGACAATTTCCACTCAAGTCAACTATTTTTAATTAGATTCAAATGGAAAATGTGTGATAAATAGATCCTATATGTACAATCTTTGTTTAATAGCCAAGCATTTAATATATGATAAGTCTGAAAGGAAAGGCTTCATCTGTGAATATACTAGTAGAATTTCAAACAACAATTTGTATGAAAATTCCTAGGAAACTTCATACGGAAATTCTCAGCACATTTGAATGTTGTAACTGTTGATTTTTTTGGAAGGAATGGACTTTACTGAACAAAAGCCATTTGTACATTAGAGAAAAAATGTCCATCTCTGTGGTCAAACATGAACAATGATTTGACCCCACTAATGATTAGAAAAAAACAAACATCCTTATGAAAAATGTAAAAATTAAGTTTTACTAGTGTATACCTAGCTTTAAATACATTCGGGTAAAGGTAGGAATGTATTGGGTATAACGATCTACACTTTCAGTATAATGACTTTAACACAGAGCAAAGGATAAAGTATTGATTAACTTAGGAGCCAATTTAGAAAGCTGTAGTATGGCTTTGCCACCTCCATACCACATGTGGACGTACGTGATATTATTATACTTTGACATTATAGCCTTGGGACAGTGTTTTTAGTATTTAGCAGTAGTATAGATTATATTGAGCACCTTTTCTTCTCCTTTTTTCCCACTTGAAGTATCAATTATTCTTGTGGTGGTATAGATTGATATGCATATTCCATTTTCATTCTGTGCTTTTTCTTCATATTTTGTAATATGTGGATGTTACACTTGAGTACATACCTTAAAAGTATTTTATTACTTTTTATGTGTGACACCTGGCCTTTTTGAACATTTGTTCTGCATTCTAGTGCCTTTTGCATGGTACCTTTTGACATACTGTTATACCAGCATTCTTTTGATCGTGTCAATCTTGTATGTATATTTTTGCCTTCCATATCCAGTTATTTATGTGATACCTGGTATG